TCTGGGACCAAAAACTTCACAAGGGATTCTCACTTCGCCCCTCCCTCCTCTTTCTCTCTCTCTTCCTGTCTTTCTGTCTCTCGGTCTCTCTGTCTGTCTCTCTCTGTCTCTCTGTCTCTCTCTCTCTCTCTGTCTCTCTCTCTCTCTCTCTCTCTCTATCGGTTCTGTTGGAATGATGGGCCCAGACTGTTCAGTCACATGGTGGGTTAGCAATCTTGTGTGGGCTAGCCTCATAACCTAACCTCTATTTATAACTTGGTTTCTGTGGGGAAATGTGTTCCCATCCCAACAGCTGCCTTTCAGAAATATGCTGGAGCACAACCTGTCAGTCTCTGGGACAAGCTATATAAAGTTACTTTCTCAGATACTCACATCTCACAATAAACCTAGCCTCAGAGAAGGAGTCATTCATTAATCAGCACTCGGTGCCAGTGTTACCACGGAAGAAAGCCTTCTGCCCTGACTGGCTGGAGGACCTCTTTGAAAACAGCAATTACTTCTGTTTCTCGGTTGGTTGTGAGCAAGTTTCTTGCAGCTGTCTCTGTTTTTGCCCAGGGGAGACTACGCTGGTTCCACCTTGGAAAGATGATGGATAGCCTGGGTTAGACTGTGGGGGCCGTCACTCGGCAAAGATAGTGAGAACGGGGTCACCTCTCAGGGCTCAGCCACAGCTGGTCCTGTTCCAAGCAGCCCCCACGCAGAAATGAGCCACCCCGTTATACTTTCAATGTTCCCTATCTCCTTCCCTGGGTAATGAGTGGTTTTACAAAAAGGAAAAAACAATAGGTATTTTTAGAAGTGGCATACATTAAAAATGTGTGTATACACACACACACACACACACACACACATATATAGGAGTGCTTATAGTGACCCCAGGGCCACTGAACAACCAACATAATCTCCAATGCCCTGCTCTGCACATACACACAAAATTTCCAATGAGGGTCAGAGAGATAGTGCAAGGGTTAAGACACGTGCCTTGAATGTGACTGCACTGGCACCCCTTATGGTTCCCAGAGCTCCGCCAGGAGCGACCCCTGAATGCAGAGCCAGGAGTGAGTCCTGAGTACCCCCAGGTGAGGCCCCATATCCTCTTCCCCTCACCAAACACAACAAATTCCCAGTTAACTTTATCAAAGACGTTTTAGAATATCACACCAGTTCTTCCTGTGGGGTTCACACTGGGAGTGTTCAGCTCTGCACTGGGCTTGAAGAAGGTCCTAGGAAATGTGTGGGTTAGCAATCTTGTGTGGGCTAGCCTTGGAACCTAACCTCTATAACTTGGTTTCTGTGGGGGAATACCCCCAGTGGCGTATTCTGGGGGGTCTGGGGCACGAAAGACTGGAAATATCAACTGAGTCTAATCCTGAGGTTGAGCAGAAGACAGACCCAGGCAGCACTCCGTACCTAGGGAATGGCTGGGAAGCACGTCCAGGAGAGATGTCAAATGGGCCTTGTTCCTTGTTTCCAGCGATTACTTTGAGAAATGCACACTCAGGTAATTTTTAAAGCGCCAGTTGTTGAATGGGCAACCATAAATAGATTCGATTACATTTGGAAAATCAAAGAAAACATAACCAAATTAAAAACAATGGAAAAATAATCGGAGTGCTTTAAAAACAAAGCATTGAATGGGTAGACTGTCTCCATGGCAATACGGTAGAAAAAGGAAATGCACCCACAAGAAATAAAAAATGGCTCCATCAATATTTGAAAGGCATTCTCACTAATAATTAATCAGAGAAATGCAAATTAAACTTAAAAGGAGACTTTTTTTTTCTTAACCAAACAAACTGACCATCATTTCAAAAGTTAAGATGCCTTTTGTTGTCAAGGATTCAGGGAAGTAAGTGGGGACTTAAACATTCCATAGCTGGGGAAAATTTTTTAGTCCTTTATATGCGTGATGAGTGTTTAAGTTTTTTACATACTTTGCCTCAGCAATTGTACTTCTGGGAATTTATCCTGAAAAAGTAATTATCAGCATTTGTTCAGAAAATATAGAGGCAAGGATACTTTTTGGTGTTATTTTTGTTTTTGCAGTCCTACGATGGGGGAAATTAGCAACAGCCTAAATGGCCTATCCTTGGACCTTAGTTCCTGCAGCCTAGATGGACCACAGGTCACCCTGAGCTAGTAGGCGGCCAAGCTTAACAACCCACTCACCCACACCGGGACCTTTCCCTCCTCCTGACAGCAACAACTAGCACCATTTCCTGGTACCACTTCGTACAATTTGTCTCTTTTCGGGGAGGATGGAGGCGGACACACCTAGTGGTGCTTGAGGCTTACTCCTGACTCTACACATCGGGTAGATCACTCCTGATAGGCTCAGGAACCATATGGGATGCCAGAGACTGAACCTGGTCAGTTGCGTGCAACGCCAACATCTTACCCACTTTAGCTCCTAGTTTTGTCTCATTGACTCTCAAAAGAAGACTCAGAGACTGGGAGGAAGTGAGACTTCAACACCAGGTCACAGTTAACAGCCCTCAGAGCTGGGACTAGGACACACAGCCGAATGCATCCCAACCCCATGTCCTTAGCGCTGTGCTAGACTCCTGCCTCTGTTGCTGAGAGGAAACTAACTTCTAGATCACATCATCTGGATCTTCATTTTTTCCGATGGAGAGAGGGCGGCTGAGAAAGGGCCTCTGCAAGGTCTTGTTTGGTATTCTGGGGAGATGTCAGTGATCAAGACAGATGTGTCTCCTGGAGCATCATGAGAGGAGGAGGCAAAGGGGAAACAAGAGACACGAAACCCAGAAACACATAAGCGGGGGAGTTGCAGGACATGAACAGGGCGATAGACAAGAGAGAAGTGGTGAATGAAGAGTGCTGGGGAGGTGGTTCCTGGGAAGTGCCAAATGTGGACACTCGCAAGCCAGGAATATCATGCAGAGAGCTGAGAAAGCAGCTTCCTGGCCAAGGAAACAGCTCGTGTGAACTCCCTAGGTATGAGCAAACTCAGTGTGGCTCAAGGATCCAAAAGTTCAGAGGAGCAGAGTGAGCCTGGGGCTGAACAGATCTGTGGCCCCTGGGAAGAGCTGAGGAGGGTGATTGCAGGGAGGAGGTGTCTCCACCAGAAGTGATGCTGCAAGGGGTAAAGTGAGGCTGCACAGTGGGAAAGTCAGTGGAGATACTGCTGGTCTCCCCAGAGAACCCCGGATTTGAAATGTTACCTGGATGCTTTTCTGAGGAAAGCTGTAAACAGATAAAACTGGAACTATTTTATGGGAACAAGGAAGAAATAAAGACAGGGAGGAGGCATATTTACTGCTGGGACATTATGCTGAGCTGGCAGAATTTAGGGCTTGCAGGAGCCATGGTTTGAGGGCCACGGTAGGACCCAAGCTTGAGTAATTCCAGTTGCTAAGACCAGGGGCCACGGGCAAGAGACAGACTCTGGTTCCAGAGAAGGCACGATTCGGTCCTGGGGCAGTAAAAGAGGCCTCCACAAAGTCAGGGTGATTTTCAATATGTAGTCTTGCCCTCAGAAATGAAGATGATGAGAGAGGAGGTTGCAAAGAGGGAGTGGAAAGAGTTTAGCCACACATTCCCATGCCCGCGTGCACGCACAAGCCATGTCGCCTTGAGGAGGAGGCCCTGGCTAGACCACTCGGGCCTGAGGGTGGCCCAGGGGAGCAACAGTCGCGAAGGGAATCCTGGTCTAACCAGTGCGTCCACGGTTTGAATGCATGATCAGCCCCAGGGGAGCTTTTCAAAGACCGACTGTCAACTCCACTGGTGTTCCTGTTCCAGTTCAGAAGCTATTTAAGAAAGGCCCCATGGCAGGGTCGAGGGTAATGGATTCATCTGGGGGGAATAAGAGGGTGCAGTCATTTGGACGTGGACGCCCCAGGGACTGGAGTCAAAAGGCAGTTTCATTACTTTCATGGCCACAGTCAGAATGTTAATATGACCAATGAAATTCTTCTTCTAGGAAACTCAGCTCAATGGCGGGGGGAGGGGGGGGAGAATTATGTTTTCAAAAATGCCAAGTTCTTCCCCGACCTTGCTTGATTGTGAAAGAGGAGGGAGTTCAGTGATGCCCAGTTAGGGCATCAGAATAGCTCTCATCTGGGCAAATGGGACCTGTTTGGGGTCCCCTATGCTACAAGGGGGTCTGCACACACCCTAAACTCCCTGCTCCGATGTCTGGAACTGTTTTCAGGGCCTCTTGAGCCTGCCCCCATGTGTCTGGGTGACGGAGGGCAGAGAGAGTTGTAGACTGAGGAGCTGAGAATGGCTCAACTGCAGGATGGAACTGGGGTGAGGAGGGCAAGAGACGGGGTGGGCCACAGAGTAAGACCAGCACCCCATGCCACTCTGCCTCACCCACAGCTCTGAACAGCCCCAGAATTCTTTTTTTCCTTCTTCTTTTTTTTTTCCTTTGTGGATCACACCCGGCGATGCACAGGGGTTACTCTTGGCTCTACACCCAAGAATCACTCCTTTTGGTGCTCAGGGGACCATATAGGATGCTGGGAACTGAACCCGGGTAATCCGCATGCAAGGCAAATGCCCTACCTGCTGTGCTATCACTCCAGCCTCAGCCCCAGAATTCTTGGTCTTCCAGGTCATTTGGAAGGCATATTGAGGATGCTGAGGGAAAAGAAAATATGCAAACTGAATAGTTCGTTGACTTGCTTATTAACTCAACTATTTGGATAGGGTATGTGGGCCCCCACTTCCCCGGCTCCTGCAGATATTAGGGGATGCCTAGTTTAGGGTGCAGTATTCCTGTCTCCCTGCTTTGCCTGGTAGCAGTTTCAACCTTGCTATGCACTGGCCCGAGTGGGGCTACCACAGCCCCAGGCGAGGCCCAGACCCTAGCTCAGTTTTCTTGTCTGTAAAGTGGGCCGGCCCTTATTCCCACCCCATGAGGATTAAGTGAGATAAATGACATAAAAAGCCACTATGCCAAGGCACCCAGCAGCCCTGGCCAACGAGCCCTCCCTGGGCTGACCTGGTATTCTCACACCTTTGTTTTCCAGACTCCACAGCAGTATGAGAGAGAGTACAACAACAAGCGTTCGGGTGTGGGGCCCAGCAAATTCCATGGCTACGCCTATGACGGCATCTGGGTCATCGCCAAGACGCTGCAGAGGGCCATGGAGACACTGCACGCCAGCAGCAGGCACCAGCGGATCCAGGACTTCAACTACACGGACCACACGCTGGGCAAGATCATCCTCAACGCCATGAATGAGACCAACTTCTTCGGGGTCACGGTCAGTGCCATGCACACAGGCTGTGGGGTGCTCTCCATGGGATGCTCTCTGTGGAATGCTCTTGGTACAATGCTTTTTGGAAATGTTTGGACAAGAGAGGCCGTATCACATACCCTTCAATCCTTAGCCTGTTTTTTTTCTTGGATCATTGAAGACAATTTTTGTAGGCCTGCAGGTTGCAGGGCTGCTGAAATGAGGGCCAGGGGCAGGGGACTCTCCAGTACACTGAAAAAAAAAATCCTCATAGTTCCCATATGAGCAAAAGCTTGGGAGCTGGCTGTGCACAGAGAAGGTGGAATTCACTCCCGAGGGGCGGGGGGGGAGGGTAGACCAGCTGGGGATCTGGACCCAAATCCAGGTTCAAATCCTGGGTCTTCACTTTAAATTTCCCTTCTTCACACTACAGAGCATTTATCCTCCAAGTGGGGATCATATCTGCTTTGATGTATAGTTAGAAGACCTAACTCTGAAAAATTTCTAATTCCACTAAGCGAGTTACTTCCTCTTGAGTCTAAAATTTCTCCTCTGGGAAATGGGACAATAATACATGTCTTGCTTAGAAGTATGGAAAAGTAGCAATGCTACGGATGACTGACATTTGGGTATTTACTATGTGTTAGGCATTCTGGTAGTAGATATATGTAGATTGGGTTCAATAATGTACATTCAAGGCCAGCCTTGAATGTTGTAGGCTACTCAACAAACGTCAGTGACTATAATTGCTTCTTGCTTCTAAATGGCATCCCTAGAAAGTGGGAACTGCTGTTATCCCCAAGGAAAGGTGCGGAGTCCACAGGACTTTTAGAACACTAAGGCCATTCCAAAAGTAGAAGTAGGCTTTGAACCCAAGTGTAGCTCTTCATTGCTACATCACACCACCTTCTGATGATGGTTATAAGAGGTGGTTTTTTATGTATGTATGATGTATTTGTTGTTGACTTTGCTCCCAGAAAATATGGAAGGCTCATCAAAGATACGTTGCTGATGCATATGTAAGTAAGATAATATGTTCTTTTTAAGAGTTCCTTACAGAGATGGCCTGTCTTGGAGTATGACGAGGAATAGATTAGATTCATTGATCGGAGATTTTCTTAAGTGTTCTCATTTCTCTGTGTGTGCTCTCTCACACGTAGCTGGGCTGATGGGCCAGCCCTGTGCGGGTGCTATGAATGGCAGAGTTTCATTTCTGTCATTGAATAGTGTTTCTGCTATTGTACATTGTGTGTTTACACCACAATCTTTAATAGACCTTTGTCAATGGACTCTGAAGCTGTTTCATACCTTAGCTCTTAGTGTTACAGTTGATATCATGGAATAGTTATCTCTTTGAATTAATTATTTCGTATTCTTTATATTGCTGTTCATATGTGGAATTGCTGGATCACGTGATATTTCTCCTGAAAATGTTTTGAGGAGCTGCCATACTTTTCCAAAATGGTCACACCAGTTGACATTTGTATTCCCACCAATCTCTGTACATTCCTTTCCCTCACCAACACTTGCAGTTAGTAGTTTTTCTGGTGTACACCATTCTCACAGACAGCATACAGCATCTCATTTTGGTTTTCCTGTGTATCTTCCTAATAATAAATCATCAGCATTTTTTTTCATATGCCAGTTAACCATCTGTATTTCCTTTTTGGAGAAGTACATTCAGATCATCTACCCAATTTTTTGGTTGGATTGCTAAAAGTCTAGTGTTTTAGTGTATTCTTTATCTCCTTCGACTATTGGTTGAATGTATGATGTGCAGACATCTCTTCTTGTTCAGTTTGTTTTTTCATTCTGCTAATATTTTCTTCGTGGTGCAAGAAAATTGTTGGCATCTGATGTAGTCCCAGTGACTTACCTTTGTTTTCATGCCTTTGGCTATTGGGGATCAAGTTTCTAAAGTTGATGCTATCGAAAACAACACCGTGTCTTCTTCTCTGTATTTATGGCTCGAGGTTTGGTTATTTTTGTGCCTGGAGACAGAGGGTGAACACATTTTGTTCTCTTGCGTGTGGCTGTCTGGTTTTCCCTGCACCATGTGTTGAAGAGACGCAAGGCTATACTTTAGATTCCCAGAGGGCCCAAGGGAGAAATGCACAGAGATATGCAGGGACCACTAACTGTGTGTATGTCTGGGGGGGGGGCAAGGGCGCGTTGGAAAGTAGGATGTGGAAGCCGCAAAAGCACATTGGGTCCCAGCTCTAAAGGGATGCAGAAAGGACACTGGCCTTTATCATTAGAAGCTAATGATTCTCAAAGTCGGCCTGTATAGCAGCTCCAGAGATCCCTGGGAAGTGGTCAGAAATGCAGGTTCTGAATCCCCCACCCCCACTCCAGACCTGCAGAATCCAAGGCCCTGGCTTTCAGTAAAACCCTCCAGGTGGTTCTCATGGCAGATCTTAAGACCCACCGCTCTGGGCCTTGCAGAGCCACTGAGGGTTGCTCAAAAGAAGCCGATTTCTAAATCCCCCTACTAGAACAGCTCAAACTGAAGGCCGCAGCTTAGGCCACCACTGGGGAGGGGGTCAAGACTTCACTGTGAGATTCTGTTGATGGGCAGAGGCTGCCTAGCTCAACCGAGATTAAGATGAGACATTTCCAGCCTTCCTCTGGGGATTTTTAAATATGATTACTGTTTTCTCCTCCACCTCTCTGTTAGAAAGGCTCATAGGGGGGCTTGTGTAAGTACAGTATAATGAGAAGTTTCTCAGGTGGGTGTAAGAGTTCTGTGTGTTCGGCCCCTTTTCCAACTTCCCCTGCCTGGAAGCCCCTAAGACTCTCCCTCCAAAGAGTTCAGATTGAGCACGAGGTAATGCCCGAGGAAGAGAGAGAACTTTGGCAATACAGGTTTAGATTGGCCTGTGTCACCTGCTCTATTCTCGCTTCTTAGGTGTTCCCCCTCTCGAGGTGCTTCTCAGGAGACACCCACAAATGCAGTTCTCTGTGTCCTCCTGCACCCTGGTGGCCCAAGCATCCTGCCCACCTCTGACTCTCTCAGTGCCGGTGTCTGCTTCTCAGCCCCATCACACACTCCTTCTCTGCCTCAGAAGGAGGGCGTTGATCTCTGCCCATCAGCCTTTTAAACGGGGCTCATTTTACCCAAGGCCTTCACGTCTCCTGCCTCATGGACAGGCCAGTCTCAAGAGCCTCCGAGTGTGGACAGCATCTGCCATCCCCCAACTCCTAGAACTCGGCATTCTGCCCGGCTGCCTGATGCCTGAGTTGGAGGTCATTTAGAACTACCTCTAAGGGTTCCCTTTCAGGGCAGCTGATAATACATAATCCCTATTTGATGGGGCAATTAGCCACGACTGCCTGAAAGGCTCCACGCAGCTCGAAGATGAGTTTCTTTTTAATGGGGAGTTCCTTGACATGTATTTATGCCCTCTCCAGATTGTGACTCATGATTCAGCGACTGTCGGCCGTGAAAGTGTCCCTAAGGATCCTCAGCTTTAACCCCCTCACTGTACATGAGCATCTGGGACCCGGGGAGGAAGATTTCAGGTCACAGACAGCAGAAACAGAACCCCCACTCCCACGGGCTGTGCCCCCCCACTCCCCCTTATCTTCTTCTTTCTCTTTGGGCGAATGCTCTTCTCCCCTTGGTTGAGAAACAGATTCGCAGCAAGAAACTTCCTCACTTTCCCCTTCCCTCCTTACCCCTGTCACATGCTTGTCTCCGGGCCCTAGACAGGTTTCAGGAAATCTGTCTTCTGAATCAGAGGAGGAAAAAAGATAGATTCTGACCAAATTGAAAGTGTCTCCGTGATCCAGAGAGGCTACAAGGCCAAGAGCAGCGATCACCAAGGCGCCAGCGAGGACAGGTCCAGAGGAGGCGGAGATAAATGACAGCATTTTCTCTTTGCTGAGGGGTTTTCATTAGACTGCACACACGGTATCTATTTTTCCACTCTTAGGCAGACACTTTATTCTAGGTCACCCTCATTCAGCATGTTTACTATACAGAAAATCGTTTAAACACATTAAATTAATTATATCCGGGACTCAATTTCAATTGATTCAGGATGCACACTCCGGGCTGGGAACTGGGCCTGTGGATCCTGGCTGCTCTGTCGAAGAAGATTTCTTCCCTGTAACCTGCCCTTGGTACCTGCCTGACCTTGTCACCTGCTCTGTTCTTGCTTCTTAGGCGCTCGCCCTCCCAAGGTGCTTCTCAGGAGACACCCACAAATGGAATTCTCTGTGTCTATCTGCACCCTGGTAGCAGAGGCATCCCACCCACCTCTGACTCTCTCAGTGTCTGTGTCTGTTTTCCAGCCCTGTTATACAACCAATTTGTGGAGCCCACGGTGTCATTCTGCTTCTCCACCTGGAACCCCATTTTCTGCTCAATGTACGACCAGAAACTTGGGCTAGTGCTGGCTGTTTAGGTCTCAAAAGCTCCATCTTCTGAGGATCCCGGCACCCACCATTAGTCTTAGGCAGTGATTTTTTTTCTTAATTGGTTTGGGTTTGGGGGGGTCACACCCAGCAGTGCTTGGAGTTTATTCCTGGCTCTGTGCTCAGGGATCACTCCTGATGAGGAACGTCTGGGGGGCCAAAGGATCAAGTTGTTAGGGTTCTAGTGGGAGTGTATGCATGTACACACACATACACACACTCACACACACTCTCACACACTCACACACACACTCATATACACTCTCATGCACACATAGTCACACACACCCTCACAGATACTCACACTCATACACACTCCCATACTCTCACACATACACTCATACACACAACACTCACACACTTACTTTTGACTTGATCCTTCAGCAAAGTATTCGTGCATTCATCCGCTTCTTTTGTAGCCCTTATGTCAGGGGCCTGGGCCCCTTGGGAGGCAAAGCATCTGGTCCTCCTTCAAAAGCCCCCATCCTGACCCAGTGGGGTGGATGAGCAAGTAGGAGAATGTGTGAGGGAATCTCCAAGGTCTACAAGACCTGCAGAGGGCGGACCCCATCTCCTTTGGAGGGTAAAGACCAAGGAGCTCTCCTCAA